AGCGTTTGATGGGATGGATGAAGTAATATAAACTACTTACTATAAATTTATTAAAAGAAATCATACATTTTAGTCTTTTAACAATATATAGGGTAAGAATGCATGAAGTCAATGGATCATCTGGCGGCATCTTAAGAAAAAAGAAACTAGGTCCTAAATTGATTGGAGCAATTACCAATTTACCAACTTAAAGGTGCATTTTAGTCTTTTAATAACATTAAAGAATTTCTAATAAGGCCCTTAGTCTAAATATATATTTGTTAAAAGTGCAGGCCTTAATTTGAATTTTAATATTTCAACTGGCTTTAATTTGAATTCTCCCTATTTTTAAAGTGATAAAAAAGAAAATTGGGAAATGTTCATTTAAATTTTTATAAAGTTAAACTAGTTAATTTTTTCTTAGCTCATCTTCTAATTCGAAAAAAGTATTATTAAAATTCTTCTATTTCCTCCCAATCAATTTGAACAAAAGATCATTAAAATCTCCTAACTCTCCTCTTTTTTGCTCTGTTGAGCCAAAAAAAGTCTTAGGTAAGCAAAAGAAAAAAGCAACAATCTTCTCTTCTCTACCTTTCGCTTCAAGACTATAAAAAAAATATGATTAGCGACATAATTTGTTATGAAAGATTTTCATCGCAAATTCCATTGCCAATTCAATTTTCTCTAAAAGAAAATTAAAATGCCTCATGGCACTTCCATCAGCTGCTATCTCATCCTAATAATGATTGCCAACCACCTCATCTCCGCCGTCATATAATTCCTTCTCAAAATAACTTTTTCAAGGCTCAAACTAGGAATGCAAGCAAACATCTTCACTAGTTAAGCTCGAACAACACTAGTAACATTTTACGCAAAATTAAATATATATGTATATCATATTTTTTCACTCAAACAATTATCTATAACGTATATATTATTAAAAACTAAAAATAAATTATATGATAATTATAATTTTAACTATTTTTTGACAAAAATCATTTTTAAATATTTGTTTTACTATTTATTTTATAAAATTTTATTTCTTTTAAAATTTATTTTTAATACAATATTAGTTTCTAAACTTATTTCAAATTTTAAATTGTAAATAATTTTTTCATAAATATATTTTCTAACTTAATTTTTCTAATTAACAATGATTAGATATATAATTTAATTATATATGCACTATATTACATTATATTGTATTATCTATCTAATGCAAAATATGTATAATTAGTAAAAAATTTAATTATTTAAAAAATAATTATAATATTAAAATATATTAAATTATTCTATATAAAAAAAATTAAATGATTTGAATAGATTATAATAAACATCCTTTTTTTTTAATTTATCTGTGTATCCTACATAATTGTTTTTTCTAAACGATCTTTATATATACAGTTTGTTTTTGTTTTGAAGACAAAATCAATCTATGAGTTGTTAATTATATCATGATCAAATTTTATTGTTATATTAATTTATGTAAAAAATTTATTAATATTCTGATCATATTTGTTTAATATTATTAATAATTGAGAGGAATTAATTTTAATGAAACATAAAATAGGTTTTCTAAAAAATTGTCTTCCTGTTTCAGTATGTATCTAATGGTGCAATGAATAACGAAGATACCTTCGTTAATACCAACCCTACAAATATATCAATTTATTTTACAATTAAAAATATAATTAATTCATTACATTTTTAATGATGTTATTATATAAATTGTTGGAGGATTATAATCTAAAATAATGAAATTTAAAGTTAGTGATGGAATTGTGACAGATTAAACTTAGCAATGGGATTATTGATAGAAATTTTCTAGGCAAACAATATAGGGGTGGAATTAGCGACGGAATTAAAAAAATTACCAACAAATTTTTTGACAGATTAGTGACAGAACTTAGCAATAGAATAATTTTTCGTCACTAATTCTGTCGATAATAAACTGCTTTTTTTTTTTTATAGTGCGATGTCCCTCTTCTACTCAAAACTATATTTTTCTTCGTGCACACTACTGAGTTTTCTCAAAACAACATCCAACCATCTAAATTATTTTTCAATAGCACTTGGTATCTTAAAATAATCTTTTGTACACTCAGCATTGTAAAATATTTTTTTAATGACATTCAGTATCTAGGTAGGTAGACGTTGAAGTATGTGTTTGTATAAAGATTAGTTTATTTCAAGTAATTTTACACCTTCTAATATAAATACTCGAAGGAAAAAAAAAACTGGTTTCACAAAGTATAAAAGAATTTTTTTTCCTTGACTAAGGTGAGCAGGGAGGTCCATTTCATTGGGAAAAAATGACACAAAAATGATATTTAAACTTAAAAATATCAAAATGGTCACTTGAATTTGTAAAATCTCAATTTAGTCACAAGTGACTAATTTGACATTTGTAAATTTTTTGAAATAACCATATTGCCATTTATTTTATTTATTGTTTTCTTAAAAAAATCAAATTCTCCACTAGCCAGTCGGTGGGCAAAGCTTAGTTGACCGCCATCAACAGAGCTCCGATGACTACCTCCAATCGGTCGCTGGAGCTCCGGCGACAGGCAACAATTTTTTTTAAAAATTTTTACGGCAGGCAACAATTTTTTTAAAATTTTTACAACTTTAGTAAAATGGTTAACAAGTTTTGTAACGCTATTAACAATTTTAGTATACCAAGTAACGATAGGTTTTTCCAGAAAATTCAAAAAGCAACATTTTTACAACTTCAGTAATGCTATTAATAAATTCTGTGACTCTATTAATAACTATGGTATAGCATTTAACGACATATTTTTTTGAAAAATTAAAAAATAGCATTCTTACAATTTTAGTAACTATTTTTTTTGAAAATTTTTGCAATTTTAGTAAAACAGTTAACAAATTTTGTAATGTTATTAACAAGTTTAGTATAGCAGTTAACAACAGATTTTCAGAAAATTCAAAAGTAGCATTCTTATGACTTCAATAATGTCGTTAACAAGTTATGTAATGATAATAACGACTCTTATGAACATAATGGATGCCTAATAGGTGGAAAAATTTTATTGTACAACTTTTATAGGGAGCTAATATGTTAACCATATTACTGAAATTGTAAAAATGTCACTTTTTAAATTTTTTAGAAAACTTGTTGTTAAATGCTATATCAAACTTGTTAATAGAGTAACAGAACTTATTAATAATATTATTGAAGTTGTAAAAATATTACTTTTAAAATTTTCTAGAAAACTTGTTGTTAAATGTTATACTGAACTTGTTAATAGTATTACAAAACTTGTTAATTGTTTTACTGAAATTATAAAAATTTTCAAACAAAGTAGTTACTAAAGTTACAAAAATGTCTTTTTTTTAATTTTTCACAAAATTTGTTGTTAAGTGTTATACCGTTGTTGTTAATAGAATTACAGAACTTGTTAACAGTATTACTAAAATTGTAAAAATGCTATTTTTTGAATTTTCTAAAAAACTTATTGGTAATTGATATATTAAATTTATTAATAACTTTACAAAACTTGTTAATCGTTTTACTGAAATTGTAGAAATTTTGAAAAAATTTATTGTTGGCCATTAGAACTCCAACGACCAATTGGTAATGGTCACTGGAGTTCCAGTGATGGGGGCCACGTAAGCTCCTATAGCCGCTGTCAATACTGGAGCTCCAGCTAATGGTCGGCCAGCAGGACATTTGGTTTTTTTAAAAGCAATAAATAAAATTAAATGCAATATAATTATTTCAGTAAATTTACAAATATTAAATTAGTCACTTATGACTAAATTAGAATTTTACAAATTTTAATCACCATTTTAATATTTTTAAGTTTAAATACCATTTTTGTGTTATTTTTCCTTCTAAAAGTCTATTTAAGATAAGCATAAGATAAAAAGTGGCTTGTAATGCTCAGCTTTGCGGGCGCAGGATAAAAAGTTAGTGGTCCACACCTTTGGAAAATTATTCAAGTCACATGCAGTTTCTTCGTCGTCTCTATGTTCTGGAAAATTTGATACTCATCAAACTACTTTGGCGGAAGCCTTGCGGTCTGTGGCTTCCATTTTCCATCTTTGTTTTTTGGTCCTTTTTATTTTTTTCTTCACGGTAAAGTCGGGTAAAATGCAATTTGTCTCTCTCTTTTTCCCAACTTTACTTTTCTGTCTCCTCCACTTTAATTTTCTCCAAGCATGCATAGAAAGAACAAAGATTAGATTGTTTATTAATTTACTTTAAAATATAAAATATATTCTTTATTACATAATATAGACAAACAAAAGGAAAATCAAATGCCAACATACTGTAAAAAATCTTGTCGAGTAAAAAAGTCTTAATGGATTTTACTGGTACAAATTCCCAAAAGTGGTTTTCACTCAACAAATTAAAATATTAGCATATATGGAGATATTATTTTCCCTTCCAGGGAAGGATAACCATCAATTTAAATAAAGTTAAAATAAAATAAGAAACGCAGTTTTAGACCGTTGACGTTGAAACTTCATTGCATCACAGACCATCTAATTAATTTAAATTATTAAAAATTGTTTGCCGTAATTTTTCAATAGTTGCAGGTCAGGCCATCCACTTTAATTACGGAACCAGTTTTAGTATTTATCACTTTGATAAATATTTTAAATTTATCAAATCTTGATTGTTTATATTTTATTTAGATGGTCCGAATGTGATTTTTTTATTTGTTTAAAATAATTTTAAATATATGTAGAATATAAAATAAAGATAATCTCTTAACTATCATTTTTTTTTCAAAAAATCATTTTTTCTATTTAAAAATAGTTAATTAAAAATTTTAAATACAGATTGTTCAAATCATATATAGACGATCCAAACTTGATAAGTTTAGAATACTCGTTAAAATGATGAGCATTGAAACTGTTTACTTTTAAATATCGCCCTTGAATCATGCTCCGGTCGATAGCCAAACATTGCTATCTGTCATTCACTGCATTTCTCTGTCTTCTCCTTCTCGATTTCTATCTTCACTACTTCTTTAGTGCACCCGAACCAAACCATGTCCGACTTTATTACTCCAGTTACTAACATCCTAGCTTGTTTGTGTGGTTACTGCGCCAAATGGGCGGATTCAATATTCAATCTTAGAGAAAACCTCATCTCTTTGAGAAATGCTTCAAATCAACTCAACGACATGTATCTTGATGTCGAGAGGAAGGTCAGAACGGCAAAGCAGGACCCAGATCCAAGGCTGAAGGTTTTGAATCGGGTAACTGGTTGGATGGAGGGAGTGAAAGTCCTACAAAATGAAGTCCAACCCATTCTGCAGCAAGGTAATGAAGAAATACAAGCCAAGTGTTTCGGAGGTCGTTGTCCCAAGAATTGTTGGGCTAGCTACAAGCTACACAAAATGGTTGCACAGAAGCTTAGTGACGTTAATGATCTCACAAGCAAAGGCCATTTTGATGTTGTAGCAGAAAAGCTTGCTCATGATGGGTTCCATGAACTTCCTGTGGTTAAGCTTGTGGGGGTAGAATCAACATTTGAGAAGCTATGTTCATGCTTTGAGAATAATCAGAAAGGCATCATTGGTTTGTATGGAATGGGAGGGGTAGGCAAAACAAGTCTGCTTAAGAAATTCAACAACGATTTCCTTTCAAAGAAAGCAAACAATGTAGTCATCTGGGTTGTGGTGTCTAAAGATGCAGATGAAGGAAAAATTCAAGATGCCATTAGGAAGAAATTACAAGTCCAAGATGAAATTTGGAATAAGAAGACGGCGGATGAAAGAGTTAATGAGCTATACTATATCTTAAAGAACAATTCATTTGTGTTGTTATTAGATGATGTGTGGAAAAGGATTGACCTGTTGAAGTTGGGGGTTCCTTCCCCTGATAATCATGAATGCAAGATGATATTTACAACTCGGTCAAGAGAGGTATGCGGTCAAATGGGTGCGGATGCAGATGGAAGCATCGAAGTAAAGTGCCTCACACCAGATAAAGCATACGACTTATTCAAGGAGAAAGTGAGTGTTACCACTCTTGAAAAACCTAATATATTGTCTCTTGCAAAGCAAGTGGTGAATGAATGTAAAGGCTTGCCACTTGTTCTTTGTACTGTTGGACGGGCCATGGCTAACAAGGAGACTCCTGATGAATGGAAGAGTAGTATAGAAATTCTGAGGACGAATCCCTCAAAGGTCCAGGGTATCGATAATGAAGTCTATCCCTTACTTGAATTCAGTTATAAGAGATTGCCAAATGATACCCACAAATCATGTTTCCGTTATTGTGCCTTATTCCCTGAGGACCATAACATTAAAAAACAAGAGCTTATTTTGCTCTGGATTGCAGAAGGTTTTTTGGCTGGATTTGATTACGACATTCATGGAGCAGATAAGGAAGGAGAATATATAATTTCAAATCTAAAGTCTGCTTGCTTATTGGAAAATGGTGAGGAAAAAGATACAATTAAGATGCATGATGTGATCAGAGGTATGACTCTCTGGCTAGCTTGTGATCACAAGAAAACAGCAAGATTCATTGTAAGAGATTATTCCAAGACAAGTGGGCTTGAACTATACAATGATGCAAAGTGGAAAGAGGTAGAAAAGGTATCAATGTGGGGTGGGCGTGATGTGAGCGCAAACTTCTCACAAAAACCTCATTGTCCTAATCTCGTGACTCTGTTTATTAGGAATACTAGGATACAAGTCTTTCCAACTGAGGTATTTGTCCTTCCAACTACTGTCAAAGTTCTAGACTTTTCTTTTAATTATGGAATAAGAGATGTACCGTCAGAAATAGGGGACTTTGTAAACCTGGAACACATGAACCTATCCCGTACTAGTATAAAAAAAATGCCAGAGGAGTTGAAGAATTTGAAGAAGCTGAAGGTCTTGTTGCTGGATGGAATAACAGTGCTTGAATTCCCGGAGAAAGTCATATCCGGTTTGTTATCCCTTCAAGCTTTCAGCACGAGATGGTCAAAAATTCGAGGGATTGATAAAAATATGTTGTTGAATGAGCTAGAAAGCTTAGATTATCTTCAGTATATACGCATTTCTGTCTTTAACACATCCTCTGTTGAAAAAATACTGATCTCCCCAAAATTGCAAAGGTGCATATGTGAGCTATTTGTTACAAGAGTAGACTCATCACCCCACCACGTGTTCTCATCACTTGGAAAAATGGAGCATCTTGAAACATTACGAGTTTATGATTTTGAAGCTGTGGATATTCCGAGGCACTCATTTTGGGGACATGATTATATAATCACCCTTCGCAAGTTGGTTCTTGACAATTGTTGTAATATACTTGACTTGAACTGGCTTATACATGCTCCAAACCTTGAATTCCTTGACTTGGCCACTTGTGATTCATTGGTGGAAGTTATAAGTAGTGAAGATTTTGGCACTGAGATACAACAAAAAAGTGATCTATTTTGCAGTCTCACTTATCTTCGGTTGGTACGTCTAAGGAACTTGAGGAGCATTTGTAGAACAGTATTACAGTTTCCTTGTTTAGAGGAGATTGAAATAATGCAGTGCCCCAATTTGAAGAAGCTCCCATTTGATTCTAAAAGTGCATTGAATAATCTACAAAGCTTTATTATGGAATATCATGATGATCAGTTGTTGGATCAGCTAGAATGGGAAGATGAAGCTACCAAGGATCTTCTTTCTTCAAAAATTGAAAAAAGGTAATTATTTTTCCCAACTAAATGCAATCAGTTAAAGCTTTAGAGCCAAGTTATTCACATTTCCATGCAAATTTTAATATATCTCCTAATTGAACCAAGTGCTGCCTGCATATAAATATATATCATGAGGTTATTATATCTTTGAATAATTTGTTTTCCCAATATTTCATATGGATAGGTGCAACATCTTGAATTTCAAGAAGTTTTAAAATTTGTAGAATTTTTGTCCATAAAAAAAAATGTTGAATTTTTAATTAAACTACGCATAGCATATTTCACCGAAAAAGAACAAATAGCATGTAAGAAAATTTTGATATTGTCACGCTTACCTGCATATGTCCTCTTCCATATAGAACTGAAAAATGGAGATAAATAATAAATTTGTAAATGTTTTGACATAAATTTTTTTTTCTATTATTTGGTTTGAAGTTTTTTTGGGTTGCTGTCTGCTGGTTGTGGGTTTTCTGCCCTATGTTTTGTTTGAGCTTGGGCCTTTATGGTCTGTTTCTATTATTAATAATTAAAAAAAAGGAGTTTAATGAGTATTTGGGAAAAAATTGATATAAATTATTCTTTTTCATGCCTAATTAAAAACCATTAAGCCATTATATGCAATAAATTTATTAAAACTTATACAAGGAACAATTAACTATAGTTTATTAACTTAGTTAATCAAAGATAAAATTCTAAGTGGTGTTCAAGATATAATATTTTAGTAAATGATATATGCATACAAATTCTTGTGTGTGTGTATTTTTTAAAAAACTACTCATTCGGTCTTTAATATAGAACTTAATTGTTGAATTAATTTTAGTTCTAAATATAAGACATATTTATCATATTTATCAATTTTTCTAAATTACCTTCTATATATACTCCTCAACTATAATCAAGTAGAGGAGGGAGAGAGAATATTAAGGAAGATAATTATGATGTTTTAGAAAAAGTATGCCATATTTGTTATAATTAACTAACTTACCTAATTTTTTTAATATAATCAAATTAGTTAAATAGGTTATATATTAAGGACCGGAGGAGTATCTTTTTTGTAAGAAAATCACTCATACACATATATTGAATTATACATGAAAATAATATAATGACATTTTATTTTGAAAAGCAACACATAAGAGAAAATTTAAAAGAGACTAACGGGCATTGAACCATTCCGTAGCAATTATTTGTGTTCATCGGCTGCAGTGTCTTTTCTTTTTGCGTTTTTTTTTTAATTGAGACCTTAGCTGATTAATTTTTTCCCCGGGCTAAACACCTTTTTTTTTTTTTTGCCTTAATTCCCCGGCTTAAACTTTGCTTGCAGAGGGAGGAGAATTCGCATTCCGACGCGGCCACGGTCCGTATGAGTACCTTTTATTTTATCTTTTCAAGTACTTTTTATTGATATTCACTCCACTGTTAAATATAAGAACTATTTTCTAATATAAATTAAATTATAAAATAGATTTTACGTTTAACATTAGGAAAGTATATATATAAATATATTATGTTCTGATGGATTGCAATGACAAGTTTTATTATTCAAACCTACATATTAAGCAAGTCTTTGCTCTTCAAAGACCACCTTCATATGTTGGTCCCAAAAAAAAAAAAAACACCTTCATAATTTTCTTTGAATTAAAGTACATATACATATAGAGACACACACGCATTAAGTTATAAATTACAAGTGACTAACTGGCCTGAAACTATTGCTTAACAAATTTATTGATTTATAGAATATAACAAGAAATATAAAAGGATTAATTACTTGTGTTCATCTGCTGCGATATCTTTTCTTTCTGCTTTTTTTTTTTTAAATCAAGACCTTCGCTGATTAATTTTTTCCTCTGGCTAAACTTTGCTTGCAGTTTTGGAGCGTTGCTACCTGCGATGCGGGATTTGTTTGGGTGAGTACCTTTTATTGTATCCTTTCAAGTACCTTTTATTGATACTCCTTCCAATCTTAAATATCATACCCATTTTCTAATTTAAGTTATACTATAAAATGAGTTTTACATTTAAAATTAAGAAAGTATATTGGTTTTTTTTTATGTTATGATGAATTGCAATGGTAAGTTTCATTATTCAAACCTACATATTAAGCAAGTCTTTACTCTTTAAAGATCACCTTCATATGCTGGTCCAAAAAAAATGGTTGCCTTCATAATATTTTGAATTAAAGTTCATACGCGCGCACACACATTAAATTATAAAATTTATTTTGAAAAGCAACACATATGAGAAAATTTACAAGTGACTAATAAGCATCAAACTATTCTTAACAAATTTATTGATTTATAGAATATAACAAGAAATACAAAAGGATTAATTACTTGTGTTCATCTGCTGCAATATTAATTCATCATCATCATCATCATCAAGGGCCTTCACCAATTAACTTTTTTCCCCTGCTAACTTTTCATGCAGGCCAATATCAGAGGGTGTCGTCTAAGAAAAGGTTGTCATTCTAAAACATCTTGCAGGTGGGTGTCCAAGGCGGGTCCCTAAGAATTTTCCTTTTCAGGTGAAAAAAATAATTGAAGATAAAATTTCTGGAAATAAATGAGTGAGTAAATGTTGTAGTTAGTGTTGCTATATCCCTATATTCTCTCAGATTGTATCGTTATGTATCCTCTCAAGCACTATGGTTTGAGTATTTTTACTATTTACCCATAAACATTGCCATAAGATTGTGCTCTATATATGTCTTTTGTTTTGTTATGATTTTGGGTTAATATAATCATTAGTGTGCTTATAATTTTTCTCATAATTTTGGATTAATATAACCATTAGTGTGCTTATAGTTTTTTTTTTTTTTTAAATTTTAGTTGTAGTCCCTAAAATTTTAGAGCGTGCTTTTTGGTTCTTTTAAGTTTGTCCCTTTGGAACCTTAGTCCTTATATTTCTAAAAGGCTTGGAGTTGCTTACTTGGCAAGATGACTGGGTAACTTTGCTGACCAAGCTTCTGATCTGTGCATATGACAAAAGCAAAATAGAACCATAAAACGCAACAGGTAAGAGGCCACGGCCAAAAGGAATTCTGATGGAGAGAAGAAATGGATTATGATAAGAATTTGTGCAGTGGTATTATGCAAAAAAAAAAAAAAAACCCATACAGAAACTGAACGCAAAAATCAGACTTTTGAACGAGTACCTGGAAAAAGATTTAGAAACAAACGAATGTGAAGCCTCACGGCTGTGTTTCCTGCTGTGACATTTATGTTTTCTTCAAACTCTTCCTCCTCTTCTTATGATGGTTCCTTTTTCTCCCTTTGCAAAAATCGTACACAAATGTTTTCCAGAGTAAGATAATAAGATCAAGAGAGAAGCTCCATAGATATCTACGAGGAAGTAGAAGCCATTGGGATGTTTGTTGGGAGTGATCATGGTAGCAAGGAGGAAATGGATAGCATGAATCGAAACAAAGCGGTTCACATCCTTGTTTTCCTGCTGTCTTTTGGACACGAAGGATTATAATAAATGTTGTTTGGAGCTCTTCGTATTCAAGAATGTCAAATCAGAGCTACAGAGATTAAGGTTTGGCTTGAAAAAGTTGTGAAGAAGTTATAGAAGAAAGAATGGGAAGCTGCTCAGTTGGTAATAGATTGAATATTCGGAGTTGTGGGTTTGTTTACGGTTCCTGCTATATAGGCTTGGGAATGAGTTCAAAAGCAGGGAGGTTTTGGAAGTCCAAAGAAAACAAACATACATTGATATGCTCTGTTCACCTCTGTTTTCATAACCAAAAACAGAACTAAATCCAAAATAATTAAAATCACTTCAACACAAACTCAGACAAAGACCCAATAAGTAGTTGTTGCAGCTTATTTCAAAGCAAGAGGAATTCAGCTAGAGGTATTTGTAGTAATTGTGACATGGGCATAGTCACTTGCGGATTAGCATTTCTCCTTCTCTAATGGTGTCAAGTTGCTAAATTTCCAATGTGACCCAACATGGCAACAACCAGATGATTCATAAGGAAGCCTATTGGCAGCACCAAGCGAAAACTAACAAACTTCAATAGAATACAAAAATGCAAAAATTTTTTGAGTTCAGTACTACTCCAGAAGCTTAAAATAATACCAATTTTGTCGCATATTATTAAAAAACTAATGTTGACAATTAAAATATTAACATTGACCATCAACATTTTTAATAGTATGGAGAAAAATTTTGATTTTAAATTTCGGGGATAATATTCAATCCAAGAAAAACTTTCAAGTATCCAATACTTTTGAGTGAAAACTTTTAGAACAAATTTAATTTGCACCCGAAACTTATTTTCTTTTATGTTATGATGTATTGCAAAGTTTCATTTGAATATATTTCATCAACTGCAATAATTAATATCTAATTTTTGAATGAAGATTTAGTAAGTCTTTAGTATTTAAAGATCACCTTCATATTTTCCTTATAGTTTTTCTTATCCATTATTCAAACCCACAAGGGTTCTCTACTCTTTCATTGACCACCAAATTGTTTTCCTTTTTCATCTTACAGGTGTAGATTTGTTCGGATGGCCAAAAAAATTTTTCAAAAAAAAAAAAGATGTTGATTTTCTCTATTTCAGGTGCTGATGACTTTTACTTTTATTTCCAGTACCTCTTCGAGCAGTGCTAAATGCTAATTTGCTATTTATGTGCTCTCAGTTATGGCCCTCCTTGAAATCATGATTAGAATCACTTATAAGCTGCTTATAAAAATTCTAAATGGGTCCAATATATGCCAAACATATTCAACTTTTGTAACAACGCAAGTATGGCTCTGTTTAGGGGTTCAAAAGTTGATTAGTCAAACTAAATAACATAATAAAATTTTTTTAACGAAAGTCCAATTGATTTGCAAAAGCACGAAATCTTGAAACTATACGGAAAAATAACGGTGCATTTTTTGTGTTTATAATAATAATTGGATTTTATATGATTAAATCGATACGTTTTGGGAATTATTAAATAATTGGATTTTATACACACACACGAATCTGGCTTCACATCCTTTATTCATGATCTCCGCTGCCTCTCCTCTGCTCCTAGACGAAGCCGTTTTCGCTCTAAAATGGAGCGACGCACGTGAGCCTGCCACTTCTCCAATCCCCCCTTGCCACATTGGCATCACCCACCTTTTGTTTTAGAGATTCTTACATATACCGAGAGTACCACCTCATCTGTGCTCTGACCAATAAAACCAGTGTTTTCATAATTGTCTTCCCCACTAATTTTAATGCCAAGAAAAAATCCCGACCAAACACATCAAACAAAGTAACAAGATTGGTCAAAGAAATAAATAAAAATAATCAGAAAATTAAAAAAAATAATTCAGAACATCTCAAGAAAATCACATTCTTGTACATGTTTCCTTTATTGCCTCTATAAAAAAAATGGTACATCCCATAAGCTAAAAATCGTAGAAAACAAACACAGAAATTATAAACTCATAAAGAAGATAAAAGGCATTATACATATTTATAAATTGATAAAAAAAGAAAATTAAGAAACATTCATTTAAATTTTTATAAAGCTAAAATAGTTAATTTGTTATTAACTCCTCTCCCTTCATCTCCTAATTAAGTCAAACAAAGTATCACTAAAATTCTTCCATTTCTTCCTAATTAATCAATTCAAACAAGAGATCATTAAAAATTAAAATCCATACATTCTTCTCCCTTTCTTCTATTGAGCCAAACAAAGCATTAGGTAAGCAAAATTAAAAAGGAACCAATTTTTCTCCTTTACTTTTAGCATTCGCTGCCACTCTTCTACTCAAAATTACCATACCATTTTTGATGTAAAAATAATGAGTCTGACCACTTCTTTCCCTAAAAATAACATTCAGCAACCTAAATTATTTTCTTAATAACACTTAGTAACTTAAAGTAATTTTTGGATACTCTGTATCATAAAATAATTTTTAATAACATTCAGTATTTAGCAAGCTGCACCTTGAAGTATATTTCCAAAAACACTTATTAGTGGCCTAAATTAATTTTAAGTGCATCCAACTTCTTAAATTATTCTTTCAGTAACATCTAATATTTTAAAGTAATTTTTATGCATCCAGCTTCCTAAAAGATTTTTCATTTGTGATTGGTGTCCTAAATTTAGGGTGTTAGATGCATTAATAATTAATTTAAAATATTGTGTGCTATTAAAAAAATACTTTACGGTTTTATGAATAATGAATCATTTTTATTATGGTAAGTAAAAATTGATAAATTACATTATATATATTCAGAAACTAATAAAATAGAGAATCGAGAAACATTCATTTAAATTTTCAGAGCAGCCATGCAATTCCGACAGAAATTCGGAATGCTCTACAGCATCCAAACCCAGTCACCTTAAACTGCAATAACAAAGCAACCCATAAGGAAACAAATAGATTCCACCTAAAAAAAAAAAAAAAAGAGTAGAAAGACTAAGATGAGGGTTGAAGAATGAGGTTCACTTCATTATCACATTATTGAGACTGAGAGTATTTAGATAAAATCAAAACTATGATTTTAAAAGTACTTTTAAAATATACGAAATTAATATGTAGAAGAGTTTATTTCGATTTATAAAAAAAAAAATTTTAAAAAATACTTTTCATGTTACCTACACATCCCGAAAAGATTACTGAAAATAAGCATGAAATCAATGGCAGTTTATGATGGGAATGAGTCTGGGGTCACCCGTCCCGGTAAAAGCTCTCGCCGTTGTGGACACAAGAGACAAAGTGGGGGGCCACACCTTGGAAAAATTATTTGAGTCGCAAGCAATTGTCATCGTCTCCTTGTTCTAGAAAATTTGATGCTGATAAGTTACAGGCTACTTTGCAGAGGCCTTGCAATTTGCGGGTTCCATAGGTTATTTTCCATCTTCTTTTTTCGTCCTTTCTATTTTTCTCTCCATGGAAAAGTCGCGTAAAAGGCAACCTTTTATCTCTGTTTTCCCCAGCTCTTCTGCCTCTACCACTTTTTTCTCCAACCATGCATGGAAAGAACAAAGGTTAAGTTGCCTATTAATTTATTTTAAAATATAAAATATCTTTATTACATAATATACAGAAACAAAGGAAAATTAAATGCCAACATATGCTACAAAAATCTAAACCTATTCAAAATGCTAGTAGTATCAGCTACAAGGCATTACAGATTTCATGAACGATATGACGAGATTTTTATGGAAATGATAGAGTAAAATCTCGACCAAAAAAAAAAAACACCCAGTAAAATCTTGTCGATTCAAATATTTTTAAGGGATTTCATCAATACAAATTCCACGAAGTGGTTTTCACTCAATAAATTAAAATACTAATATCTATCTTCACTTCTTTGGTGCACCCAAACCAAACCACGGCGGACCTTATTACTCTTGTAATCGACATCCTAACTTGTTTGTGTGGTTACCGTTCCAAATGGATCGATTCAATACGCCAGCTAGGAGACAACCTCAACTATTTGAGAAATGCTTCAAGTCAACTCAATAGCAGGTACCTTGATGTCAAGATGAGGGTCGAAACGGCACAGCAGGATCCAGACCCAGAGCTGATGGTTTTGAATGAGGTAAGGGATTGGATGGGCAAAGTTGAAGACCTACAAAATGAAGTCCGGCCATCCTGCAGCAAGGTGATGAAGAAATGCAAGCCAAGTGCTTTGGAGGTTGTTGTCCCAAGAATTGTTGGGCTAGCTACAAGCTACACGAGGACGTTACCCAGAAGTTGAGTGATGTTAATGATCTTATAAGCAATGGGCATTTTGATGTTGTAGCAGAAAAGTTTGTTCGTGATCAGTTTGACGAAGTTCCCGTGGATAGGGCTGTGGGTGTAGAATCAACATTTGAGGAGCTACGTTCATGCTTTGAGAACAGTCTGGTGCGCGTCATTGGTTTGTATGGGATGGGAGGGGTAGGCAAACAACACTGCTTAAGAAGTTCAACAATGATTTCCTCTCAACAATACCACAATATGTAGTCATCCAGATTGAGGCATCTAAAGATGTAGACCCAGGGAAAATACAAGAAGATATTAGGAAGAAATTGCGCATCGGAGATGACGCTTGGAATAATAAGACAGTTGATGACAGGGCTCGTTTGTTTTATAATATCTTAAAGAATAAGAAATTTGCGTTATTAGTAGATGATGTGTGGGAAAAGATTGACCTGTTGAAATTAGGGGTTCATTCTCCTAATAATCATGAATGCAAGATAATATTCACAACTCGGTCAAAAGAGATATCTGGTCAAATGGTTGCGTGGAAAAGCATAAAAGTAAATTGTCTCACGTTAGATAAAGCATTTGACTTGTTCAAGGAGAAAGTGGGTAAAACTACTCTTGAAAACTTTCATATATTGCCTCTTGCAAAACTAGTAGTAGAAGAGCGTCGAGGCCTGCCACTTGCTCTTTATACCATTGGATGTGCAATGGCTAACAAGGTAACTCCCAATGAATGGAAGCATGCTATAGAAATTTTGAGGAGTTATCCATCAAAGGTCCAAGGTATTGTTGAAGATGTCTATTACTTGCTTGAGTTTAGTTATGATAGATTGCCAGATGATATCTACAAATCATGTTTTTCGTATTGTGCCTTATTTCCTGAGGATTATAACTTCGAAAAACAAAAGCTTATTTTGCTCTGGATAGCAGAAGGTTTTTTTGGCTGAATTTGATTATGACATACATGAAGCATGTAAGCAAGGAGAAGATATAATTTCGAGTCTAAAGAACACTTGCTTATTGGAAAATGGTGTGGAAGAAGATACATTTAAAACGTATGATGTCCTAAGAGACATGGCTCTCTGGGTAGCTTGTGATTACATGAAAAAGACAAAATTCTTTGTAGGAGATGGTTTTGGGACTATTGGCCTTGAAGTATACAATCATGCAAACTGGAAAGAGGTAGAAAAGCTGTCAATGTGGGGAGGAGAGTTGAAGTGAGTACAAACTTCTCACAAAACCCTCATTGTCCTAATCTGGTTCCTCTGCTTATTAGGAATACTAGGATACAAGTCTTTCCAACCGAGGTATTTGTTCTCCCAAGGATTATTAGAGTACTAGACTTGTCATCAAATTACAAAATAAGAGATCTACCATCAGAAATTAGGGACTTTGTAAACCTCAAACACATGAACCTATCATATACTTGTATAAGAAAATTGCCAGAGGAGTTGAAGAATTTGAAGAAGCTGAGGTTCTTATTACTAAACGGACTAAGAAAGCTTGAATTCCCAAAGGAAGTTATATCTTGTTTGTTATCCCTTCGAGCTTTTAGCACGACACAGTCACCGGTTCGAGGGATTGATGAAAATGTGTTGTTGGATGAGCTAGAAGGCTTAGATCATCTTCAAGATATGCGCATATCTGTCTTTAGCATATCCTCTATTGGAAGAATACTGATCTCCTCAAAATTGGAAAGGTGCATGTGTGAGTTATTTGTTGAAGGAGTAAGCTCACCACTCCATGACTTCTTCTCATCACTTGGAAAGATGGAGCATCTCGGAACATTACGGGTTTATGATTCCGAAGCTGCGGATATTCCGACAAACTCATTTCAAGGACACGAATATATAGTCATCCTCCGCAAGTTGGTTCTCGATGGTTGCGGTAATGACTTGAATTGGCTTATACGCGCACCAAACCTTAAAGTCCTTCAAATAGCCGATTGTGGTTCACTGGTTGAAGTTGTGAGTGCAGATTTTGGGACTGCTGACATTGAGAGAGTGAAAAGCAATCTATTGTCTAGTCTCACTTATCTTCATTTGATATATCTGAGCAACTGAAGGAGCATTTGTAGAATGGCATTACAGTTTTCTTGTTTGAAGGAGATTCGAGTGACAAAGTGCCCCAGTTTGAAGAGGCTCCCATTTAATTCTCAAAGTGCATTGAAAAGCCTACAACGCTTTATAGTATATCCTGATCAGTTGTTGGATCAATTGAAATGGGAAGACAAAGCAACCAAGCATCTTCTTTCATCAAAATTTGAAAGGTAATATTTCTGCCAAGTAAACGGAATCGTTTAAAGGCTTTAGAGTAAAGTTATTCTTACTTTGCAAATGCTAATGCTTTCTTATTGGTCACCAAAGCACTACATGAATATAAATATTTATCATAAGATTATAATGTCTGTGAATAATTTATTTTCCCACTATTTCATATGGATTGTTGCACTGAATTTCACGACATTTTAAAATTTCTAGAATTTTAATTAAAGTACGCACAGCATATTTCAACCAAAAAAAGTACAAATAACATATGAAAATTTTGATATTGTCACAGTTTCCTGCATACGTCTTGTTTCCACACTTCCATAGAACTGCAGGGAAAATGAAGAGAAATGACAAATTTATATGTCTTTTGACATATAAATCTGCCAAAAAAAAAAATAGATTGCTTTTATCTGGTTTAAAATTTTTTGGGTTTCGTGCCCAAAAAGTGTGTTTGGTTGGAGGGGAGGGGAGGGAAAATGAGCCCTCCCTCATTGGTTAAAAATTTTGGAGGGAAGGGGAGTTAAAATGTCCCCTCCCCTTCCCCCCCTTCTCCCATTTTGGCTCCCCTCCAAATTGGGGGATTTTGGAGGGGAGTCAAATTTTGGACTATTATGCTCTTGTAGTTTTTTCAATATTTCACTTCTACCCATAAATTATATTATTATAATATTTATTTCAAATAAAAAAATATATTATTTTAAATAAAAAAATAAAAATATATATATTATTATAATAAAAAATTATTTAAATAAAAAATTATAATATTATAAAATTAATTGTTTTTATAAATATATTATTTATTAAATATATTTTAAAGTTGGAAAAAAAAGATAACCTAAAGAGAATAAAATTTCATTTTTCTTAGAGTATATAAAATTTGTTAATTTGATTATTTTAAAATATTATTGTATTAATTAGAATAAAAAATTACCGTACTAATTTTTTAATGCACATATTAACATGATAATACTGAATTTTTATTAAATTATATGATTTAAATTAAGATGTAAATTAATTTATATAATATATCAATAAAAAACATAAACTAATATGTAAGGGTAAAATGATAAATTGATTATTACTATCCCTCCCCTCCCCTCCTTTTTAATCAAACCAAACAAGGTGACGATGAAATCTCCCCTCCCTTTCCCTACCTACCCCTCCCCCCCTCCCCTCCCCTCCCCTCCCCTCAAACCAAACAGGCCCTTTAGCTTGGGCCTTTTTCTAGTCTATTTGTATTATTTAAGTAAAAATGTTTAATGGGTATTTGGACCAAAAAAAATGTGAATATAATTCTTTTTTTCATTCCCAATTAAAACCATAAAGCTATTATATGCAATAAATTTATTGAAACTTATATAAGGAATATAAAATGGTTTAATTTTTCAAAATTTGTGAATAATTAATTAGTTTATTAATAGAATTAATCAGAGATCCTTCAAAGACCCGGCATTGAATTCTAAGCCGTGTTCAAGAGATATTTTAGTAAAATGGTAAATGATATATGCACAAATTCTTTTTTATATATTTTTAAAAAACTACATATTTCTTTTTTGGTAAGAAAATTGCATATATATTGCACACACGTTAAATTATACTACTTCCGGTCTTAATTATAAGACCTCATTTATAGTCTGCAAATGAAGTTTTATAATTAGAACTAGAAGTGGTATATAAAAATAATGTAATGATATTTTATTTTGAAAAGCAATGCACAAGAGAAAATTTATAAGAGAATAACGGGCATTAAACCAATCCGTAACAAATTTATTGACTTATAAAATATAAAAAAGAAATATCAAAGTAATAACTATTCTTCTTCATCTGCTGCAGTAATGTTCTTTTTTTACCAAGAACCTTCGCTGATTTTTTTTTTCCCCCGGCTAAACTTTGCATGCAGGGATGCAAAGTCTCAAATATGCGGACAAATGAGTACCATTTATTGATATTACAGCGCTATGTGGTTTGAGTTTCAATTGAATATGCATCATCAAGACATTAACTGCAATGATTAATATCTAATTTTCGGATGAAAATTAAGGGCCTGTTTGCGTATTTCAAAACCATGGTTTTAGAAGCACTTTTCCGCAAAACGAAATAATCTCCTCCACATATTTACTTCGTAATCCGTAAAAACACTTCTGAAACCATGGTTTGGTCTCTATCCAAACACACCCTAGTCTTTATATATTCCACCATTCTTTACTTTTATGAAGGGCACAAGTTTCTGTATGAATTTGCGATGTTCTATTGACAGCAAGATATTTGCAGACCAAATCAATGAACATAGCTTGAAGTATATGATTGATGAAAAGATGGTTATTGTACCATTTTAGCGTTTAGGATCTCCAAACGGCTTTGACTGAAACATTTGTCTCGCTCTTTTCCTTCTTTTTTTTTCCAGTACTTGGAGCTTCGAAGAAGAACCGGTAAGGAAGGCTCCGAAGGTTTAGAAGCTATTATGGAGAGTAGCATCGCCTCCAATGCTTTGATTTCCTTGTAATATTGCCACATTAGGGACATGGATCAATTGCATGACTTGTTATTAATTTTAGTTGTTTTTGTGTTTACCGCAATGAAAGACTTTGCTCGCCGCGGCAAATGATGTTGAACTTTGAATTATCGTTATGTTTCTTTTATGTCATGGAGTGCATGTTATCAATTGGTCAAAGGTCGCCTTAGGTGCTGTTTTTGACTGAGATTTAAGTGGAACCACATTCAGAGGCTTCAATTTATCTTCATTAGTACGGTTAATTGAATTTAGATGATAGATGTTGAGGTCAGAGTATTTTCCTCTCTCCGATTAACCTTCGTCTAGTGTCCTATGATAGCCTTGAGCTCAAAGTCATTTTCTTCTTCTCTCACCTACTCTTCAAGTTATTCCAAGCTTCTATGCCCGTGGGAAAGTAAAGATTTGTCTCTGCTGCCCAAATTCGATGAAGTTTTTCCGTCTCGCTTCCGTGATGAGTTCTGATTTTGGACGATGGAAATTTTGCTTAATTCCTTGATTTTCTTTATGCATTTTCTGCAAGTAATAGGAATAGTAGATGGTGACTGTAGTTTTCTTCTTTTTAGTGGTCTCCTTGAGTTTTCTGAAAAAGAAAATAATTTTGTCAATTTGATTTGCACTATGTAAATTTGGGTTCCACTTGTAATTGTGACACATGCTTCTTTTGGTAAATTCATGTTCATTGAGTTTTGAAAATGAAGTAAACCTGCACAAATTTAGTACTCCAATGAGATAGTTTGCCTGAAATAATACAGATGATGAAAATGGTTGTAGAGTTCCTTTCCCTCTTTGTTAATCTTCCCTCTCCCATGCAGCGGCAAAAGATGCACAAAGTGATCCCCATTTCCGTATCTGTTTCTTTTTCAATCTATGAAGCCAAAATAGTCTTTTTATAATTGTAATATTTTGCCCTCAAGTTCCAAGAGATCTAAGAACAATTCAACGATTTTCAGGGACCTTGGATGAATACATTCTATTCCTTAAGACCTGTATGTAATTTTTCCTAAATTATTTTTTGAGTAACATTCAATATTCTAAAGAAACTTTTTTATGCATCCAAATTTCTGAAAGATTTTTCACTTGCGCTTGATATCTAAGTTTAGGATGCACATTGCTTAAAAAAATATTTTAGGATATTAAATATACTAACAACTAATTTAATACATTG